GCACCAGCAGAGGGGAGCAGTGACTGGGTGCTTACAAGCTTGATAGAATCCTAAAGTCAAAGGGCCCTTAGAGCCCAGGCCCTCCCCCAAGGAATGCAGTCTACCTCTAATGTCCCTGACTCAGTCATCAGACTTGTGCTTCTGGGGACAGGAAGAGCAGGACCACATGGGGTCCCCGTTTCAGAGTCTTCCCTCCCAAAGAGGGGAATTTTCCTGATGGTGCTTTGCCTCTGGTTCTGGTTTGGCCCCTCTAAGCCTGGTGTGTTGAGCTGCACAAGCCAGAAATCATGCCCCTCTTGAGGCCTCCCTTCCTCATGTGACTCAGCTTTTAGATTTTAGACATCTCATCTACCCACCTCTGAATGAGCACCTTATCCAGAATTTACTGCCCTGGACAGTGAACATAATAGTCACTTTATAGAGGATTAAAAGATAGGCTCCTCTGACCACAGGATTTCCCAGGCAAGAATACTGAAGTGGGTTGCCATTTCCCTCCTCCATGGTTCTTCCTGACCCAGGATCAAACCAGCGTCTCCTGGATTGCAAGTGGATTCTTTTCCAACTGAGCCACCAGGGAAACCCATTAAAAGATACAGTGCATGTAAAGGACCTCTGCATTTTGGCAGCCACCTTGGCTGGAAAGCTTACACCAAATCTGTACTTAGCTGAAAGCCAAGGGTCTTTTTCACACAAACTGCTAACATTCATCCTTATTAAACTTCATTTTGCCAGTCCCAGTCCATTGCCTCTTCCTGGCAGCATTGATTCTGTCACTGTATATTAGCTGGTCCATCCAGCTTTGAGTCATCTGAAATTCCAGTAATATGCCTTTCATATTTTCATTTGTGTTCTCTCTCCAGCATGATGCCAACATGTTAAGAAAGATCCTTTAGGTTCAGCTATTTAACCACTACTCAAGCTACTCAACTGTGCTATTATCCAGCCCACATGGGCTCCTCTGATTGAGAAATTTTTATCCCTGGAAATACTGAAGGTGCCAAAGAAAAAGTTAATTTATGTTCAACAACTCCTGTTTTAAAAGACCAGGGAAATTGTAAAGCCTTATGGAAAGACCTCCATCAAAAAGCAGTCAGTATAAATTTTGGTCACTTGATAGGGTAAATTTCATTTATCTAGAACATTCTCTCACAGGAAATTATGTAAATCCTCTGCAATGCCAATAATAGTGGCATTACTGCATAGAGTCTTCTGTGTTACTCCATGTGGTTTATACTTTCTCTCTACTAGAACAGAAACTTCTCAAGGTCAGGAGTCATTTCTATCTCTTTTCAGCACCTGAGTTCGGCTAAGAGATGACAATCTAAGCTTTGCACAGTGAACTCTTAACCTGCAGACTCACAATCCATCACTATAAAACTTAGCCACTTATATGTACATATCCAGCCCCAGTGGGAAACCCAAAGCATTAGCTATGAGATTCAAGAGGGCAAAAATAGATTTCTTTTTCATTTTTGTCACCTGCAAGGTATCTGTAACATCCCACAGTGCACACAGTAAGTACAGCACTCAGAAATAAATATTTTTCTGAATGCTGACTGAATAACCTGAGAGACAGAAGCCACAGATTCAGGGTCACACTGATCCTATTCGCACACTTTCCTTTACATGGAGAGTACAATACTGACACATACCATCAAGAACACTGCAGTTGAGAAACATTGACTGAGGCTGGTGTGAGAGTGGACTGTATGTAAAAGACACTGTAAATCCTAGAAGGGGTGAAGCTGGGTGGAGAGACGATATGTCTACAGCAAGTTTTTAATTTGACGTTTTCCTGTACCATTTAAGGGACAGATAGTACAGATGAACCTACTTGCAGGGCAGGAATAGAGACACATATAGAGAATGGACATGTGGACACAGTGAGGGAAGAGAGTGTAGCATTAACATATATACACTACCATGTATAAAGGAGATAGCTAGTGGGAAGCTACTGTCGACCACAGGGAACTCGGCGCGGTGCTCTGCAACAACCTAGAGGGGTAGGAGGGAGGTTCAATGGGGAGAGGATATATATATTTATGTGTTGTTATTTGTATCCATTGATGTTGTTGTATAGTGGAAACTAACACAACATTGTAAAGCAATTATACTCCAACTAAAAAAATCAAAGGACAAAGATATCAGAGCGGTCCCAAAGGAAGGAACCAACACATTTAGTATTGGAAAGTTTTTGGAAAGGCTTCATCCAACAGGGTAACTGCGTAGGATTTTTAAAGCTTAAAGGATTGGAGAGAACTTTCCAAGGTAGAAGAGTGGCTTGAGTCCTGGCAAGGGGCTGGGAAAGCACAGGTGGGTTTAGGGGGTGACAAATGGATGCTGTATCTGAAGAAGGGGATTCCTGTAGACACCCCGCCCCCCACCTTATTTTTCCCAGAAAGCTAAAGCACGTGCTGGTATAGGAGATAAGTCAATGGCTGAGGAAGAGATATGTTCTCTGTCTTGCAAAGTCAACAGGCTTACACACGGCTATCACCCATGTCCTCTACCTGATCGGCATTTCCTTTAATCTGAGTTTAAAAGGCTAGCTAAACAGATTATTTTTGGCCTAAACTGCCTGGAGCCCAGCTGTTAAATATCATCACCAACCACAGCCACTTTATCAGGCCGATGGGGTAGAATTTTTCACCTCAAATGATAAAATTGGCTCCCTGGCTCTTCTGGTGTTTTCCACCTCTAGCTGCAGCAGTAACAACCCCTAATCTCTCCCCAGACAGTCTTCTTTTTCTCCTTACAAAGTGCGGTTGCCTTTGAAAGCAACTGCCTCCCTAGACTCCTTATAGGTTGAACCTTCCTAATGGCGCAGATGGGTAGACCCTAGGATGAACTGTTGCCTAGCAACATTCCTAGTGCGTGGAGGGGCTGACTGGCCCACCAGTCTGTAGGATTACGCTGCAGGAAGCCCTTGGGGAAATAGAGACATCATCTACTTTAAGCTTGAAGCATGCTGTTGGCTTTTGGGCTACCTGTAGTGAAATACAAAGATATTAGTTTTTTAATGAATAGTTAGCTCACTTTAAAAATGTTACTTAAGTTTCAATTCTTTCTATAACTTTTTTCTCTGCTCTCTACTTTAACCTTCTGACTCATTGGCTTTTTTTTTTTTTTTTTTGATGCATTGGCTTTTGCTGTCACAATTTTAAAGATAAACCTGCCAGACAAGTTCATACTTTTCTCTTAATAAAGGTAATATTGATGCTTGTTCTTTTAAGATGCATACAGACCCGAGCTACCTGTTCTCTTTCCACAAAGGAAGGGGGACAATTGGAGAGACTGCCTAGTACTTCAGGTCCCAGGCGAGTTTTATGTGGGTCCCAGGATACTGATATTAGACCCATTTCAGGAATAAAAGCACTGCTGAGCGTTTGGGGGATCGTATCCTTTTTGGATAGTTTGGAGAGTTTTTATGACTACTAAATGCCAACCAACCAACAAACTAATGTACTAGCCACCTCTAAACCAAAATGTTGCAAATCAAAAAAAGCCAAACAAACACTGGCTGGTTGAGTCCATCTGGTAGAAGGACATGTTAATTCGTAGTCATGTATAGCGATTAACTAGTTGCTCTGTTGTGTCTGACTCTTTGTGACCCCATGTCCTGAAGCCCACCAGGCTCCTCTGTCCATGGAAATTTTCAGGCAAGAATACTAGAGTGGGTTGCCATTCCCTTCTCCAGGGGATCTTCCTGACCCAGGGATTGAACCTAGGTCTCCTGCAGGATCTGACTAACTGCAATTAGAGGGGAGCCTAATTTTATCTTTAGACTTTCACAAAAAGTTCTGTTATCCATGGTTAAGGCATCCTATGGACCCAGGTTCATTATTCCTTCCTCACATCACAGAGGTGAAGTGAAAAGGTATACAGTCCTCAGTAGTAACTCACAATGAAGCTATGTAATACTTAAGGGAGTGTTTTTCTGACGGTACAGTAAGCAAGTGCATAGACTGAAATCTAATAGGTATGAGTTTGAATCCAATTCTGCTGTTTCCTACTATTTGATCTTAACTCTGAACATCTTTCCTCATTCTGTAGAATGGAAATAGTAAAGTCTACCTGGTAGAGCTCTTGGGAGTATTAACTAATACAGTACTTCTGGGGTTGTACCTGAGTCTTAGTGGGCATTCAAACAATAGGTCCCTTTCCTCTTTTCTTTTGAGCCTATGTCCTTAACTAACCTCTACATTCAATCTTCTTCAGAAACCCTAAGCAGAGACCAGGTGCTATAATGAGAGAATCCAAATGGAACCAGGTGTTAATAAATGAGGACCGTTCTTCATCTTGCTCTTGGTGTCTGGCTGTGATTTTCTTCTTTCCTATTTGTCGGAGGCTTAACTGTTTGCCCTGAAATTTGGCACCACTCTGGGCCTCCTGTTGACAATTTCTGTCTGAGCTTTAAGAATGCCAGAGACAGTGAACAGAGAACAGAGTCTAGGTAGACAGCAGTCAAAGCAAGAATATGCAGTAATCCTGAGTTGGGGAAGAAGGGAGAGACATGTTTTTTAGAGGAAGTGAATGAAGACATTGTCAGGCCTCAGGGAAAAACGGTAAGTTTCTCTGTCAGCAAGCATTTATTGAGCCCCTGCTTCATAGAGGCTCAACTTTATCATGAGATTCCAAAGACCCTGAGACCTGACTCCTTTGAGTGTTTCGAGTCTACAGGGACAATCGAAAGACAGAGAAAGGAGTGGGGAGCAATTTGGTTGAAGGTGCCAATCACATGGTTCCTAAAGGTTTTCAGGTTGAAGGAGCATTTGGATCCAAAAGGCTTCCTGAAAGTGGCGGTTTGAGGGAGATGCAGGTCATGGGTTGAAGGAAAGGAGCACGGGGTCCAGAATAGCAGGTTCAAAGGCTTAGTGCTAACGGGCTGGTCCAGGGTTGAAAGAAGCCCCTCCTCAATGCTCTGTGAATCTCCCTTCACCTCCAGCCCTCTCTCACTGGCCCGGCAGGGACCAGGCAGGGGCCGCCACCAGTGGTCTAACCTCGCTGGATCGCAGGACTCCGAAGAACGGGTAGAGGAAGGCAGGCACCAGGGCTGCAGCTCCAAGAGGCACCGCCTCGGACACCCAGTACACGGCGGTCACGATCAGCACATAAGCACATGAGGCCTCCTGGAAGGGGAGGAAAGTGGGTGGTCAGAGACAGCGTTGCCACCGAGAATCCAAAAGAGAGCCGGGGCAGAGGCAGCGGTCACACAGACTTCAACACGGGCGCTGGCACACAGGCCTGGGGGTGGGTGCAGAGCTGGACTTGGCGGAGGATTGCTGGATTATTGTTGTTTAGTCACTAAGTCATGTCCGAATCTTTGTGACCCCATAGACTGTAGCCCGCCAGCCCCCTCTGTCCATGAGATTTCCCAGGCAATACTGGAGAGGGTTGCATTTTTTTCCTCCAGAGGACCTTTTTGACTCACGCATCGAACCCGCATCTCCTGCTCTGTCACGTGGATTCTTTACCACTGAGCCACCAGGGAAGCCGTTTGGTGCATATGTGCCATCACATTTTGGTGGGTGAAGGTATGACTGCTCCTTGGGGAGACTGACGTTTGGCACGTGGTTTGCATGGGTTTGCGACAGGGAGGAACTTGACAGTCATGCTATCATAGCTCTACTGGTCCCTGAAACAGCCGGGTAGGGACAGAAATTAACTGCAGTGTCCAGATAGATCCAAGATCATATATCATAAAGGTATATCGTATGTCATAAAGGAGTTCATACAGAATATTTTGGTGTCAAGTTGATCAGATGCTAGAAGTTCTTGGGGTGGCTGAAGGCAGAGGTTGATTTGTGTAACTGGTTCACATGTGAACTCTGGGCCATTTGAAGCTGGATCACTCCTTGCTGGGGGTGAGGGTGGGAGTGGGGAGCTGTCCTGCGCCTTGTGAACCATTTAGCAGCATCCTTGGCCTCCACCCACAAGATGTCAGTAGTACCTCCCCGGTTATGACAACCAAAATGTGTGTGTGCTCAGTAGCCCCCCAGGCTCCTCTGTCCATGGGACCCTCCAGGCAAGAACACTGGAGTGGGTTGCCAGGCCCTCCTGCAGGGGGTCTTCCCGACCCAGGATCAAACCTGTGTCTCCTGCACTGCAGGTGGATTCTTCCCTGCTGAGCCACCAGGGAAACCTAAAAATGTCTCTAGACATTCCAGATGTCCCTTAACAGTGGGAGGCAGCGGGGGATTGTCCTTGTTGAGAACCAGTGCCCTAACCAGTTTGGGACTTTATTCTGCGTGCCTGATACACATGGAAACATCCTTCTGACGAAGGGAATAAGACTGTTCTCTGCCTGGAAGGGAGGACCTGGAAATTTACCAGTGTTTTTCCGAGCCTACCCCCTCTGTTATTTTGAACAGCCTTGGGGTGCACAGAATAAATAACTATAATATGCTTATCAAAAATTAGTGCTCCAGTGATGCTGGTTGCCAGGAATGGTGCTGATTAATGGTGGTGGGAAAGGTCTCTGTCTAAAGGCCTTAACCATGGACTCTGGAGGGCCCTGAGTAGAAGATCCAAGCTGGCTGTGTATTCCTCTGTTTATACCTAGTTCTAAACCATCTGGTTTCAGGTCTGACCTCCCCTGAGGCTGGCTGGCGATCAAGGAACCTGACAAACCTTGTTCTGTTTATCTCTCCCTTGGGTTCAGAACAAGTGTCCTCAGACTCTTACACAAAAGTTACAAAAGGTCGCTGTGATCAGTGAGGGGCGTCAGGGGAGATTAACCCAGCCTGGCTGGATGGGACCTTGCTCCCTCCTGATATGCATGGATTAGAGGGCTGGGGTTTGAGAAATGGGAACTGGGCCCAGCAATTGTTGACTGGGGCTCCCACTGAGGTTTCCTCTGGGGCCAGAAGATCAGAGAGAAGTTAAAATGTTTGGAAATGCTGATAAGGCAACAGAACTAATACTGGTGGGGGCGGGGGAAGGAAAGGCTCCCTTTGGAAAAGAATGCAACTTAGAGACATGCTCCCTTTATTGCAGAAATAAAAATACCTAAAGGAGTTCAAAGCTCTTCAGCCCACCTGAGCTCATTCATTCCCATTTCCTTTCTGGTAAAGAAACGGAATGGTAGGTGTTGGTTCTAGTTGATGAAAAGGAGATAGAACATCCTTCTCTCTCTGAGAAGCCCTTATTCCTTCTGAAGAAACTTCAGTCCTTATGACTTCATCATTACAGGTCCAGGAATGAAGCAGGGGTGGGGTGGGGACGCAGAGAGAGAGAGCACGTGAGAGTGCCATTTCCTTCCACCATGCACCATTTTGGTTTGAATTAGGAGAATTTTGATAAGCCAAGGTAAATTTTTTGATTGTAACTATGGTTAGGAATTAGAACAGGTTACTGGAGGAAGTGACCAAGCTACCTTCACTCAGCAGTATTAAGAACAGGATAAACTGCCATCTTTTTCTTTTCAGCTGTGTCACATGGCACGTGGGATCTTACTTCCCAACCAGAGATCAAATACATGCCCCCTGCATTGGAATCAAGGAGTCTTAATCACTGGACCACAAGGGAAGTTTCTCCTGCCATCAATTTTTAAAAATAGCTTTTTGTTTTTATTTTCTATGTATTTTTATATTCACACTCATGAGCATTTTCTCTTTTTGCACTCAGTCACTCAGTTGTGTCCGACTCTTTGTGACCCTATGGACTGCAGCCCACCAGGTTCCTCCATCCATGGGATTTTCCAGGCAAGAATCCTGGAGTTGCCACATCCTCCTCCAGGGGATCTTTTGGACCCAGGGATTGAACCCAAGTCTCCTGCATTGGCAGGCGGGTTCTTTACCACTAGTGCCACCTGAGAAGCCCTCCTGCCATCATTTTTATCTGAACTTTCCTTAGAGTTTTCTAACTTTCATTAGAAGAATGGGTAAGGGACCACCTTCAGATTACCTTTCCATCTATTTCACACTCAGTTCACTCATGGAATTCACATAAATTTCCTTTTGCTTCTTCTCAACCATTTCAAAATTCAGCAAGAAAGCCTATATGCGATAACCCAGAACACTCTGTGTGTCCCTGCATCTGGCCCGGGGCCCGGCAGTTACTCAGTCCGTGTTGGGTGAACTAACTGGGTTCCTCTGCTGGCTAGCAGGTCTCTCTTATCTGCTGGAGAAAACATTTTGGAAGCCCTCATCCCCTTATCACTGCCCCTGGTCAGCAAGTATGTATTGGTACGTATTCAGGCAGTGCCTTTAAGAGATAGTGTTGTCAGTTCTTCATGGCTCCTGTTTACAAACAAAGGAGTGAGTTTAAAAGTGGCATCTCCCCACAGCAGATGCTTCCAACTGGTGTTTGCATCTGCTCCTTTCCCCACAGTCTGACCACCTCGATGAAACCCCACTGGAAGAAGCTTGAGGTCTGGTTATTTGGTGTCATAAATGATTGCAAGGGCTTTTGAGAATTTAGTCTGAGAGCTGGGTATAACTTTTATCCCACTGGGATGCTGAAGCTGGGCTTAGTTAAGCTGGGCTTAGTTAGTTAGCTGGGCCACCCCCTGGGCCCCTGCTTCCTCTTCTGTCATACGGGGGTCCGAGTCTGGGCCTCTGGCTTTAGAGAGCTGGGCAAGAAAAATGGGGAGGTTCTTCTAATCCTTCCCGAAATATAGCTGTGGCTTGTCCCTTGGAAGGACCATGAGAACTGCAGGCCAGGACCTTCTGCCTAGGTCACTCCTCCCAGCTCCAGCCCAGAGCAAACAAGGCCATTTAGGAATCTTAAGGATTAAATATCAGAAAGTAAGTGTGAGGCAAGGGGGATGAAGTGACGGGAGCCAGTCTCTGCGGTGGCTTGTGCCAGCTGTGGGTGCCATGACCACATCCTCTATGATGTCCTCCTCCTTGCAGAGAAAGGTAGAGTCTTACCGACACTGTGACTCATGGAGGAATTGCCGCTGCAGGCCATGCAGAGGCGAGTGGCAAGCAGGCTGCATCCACCCCTGAGGGCTTGGCCCACCCGGGTTCCACCTGGCGATCCCGAGGGTTGTAGGTGGTCCGAATCATCTACCCTCCCCAGCCCCGTTAACACAGCCTGGGAAGCTCTGCTGTTATTTGATCCCTTAGTCATGTCTGACTCTTTGCGACCCCATGGACTGTAGCCCACCAGTCTCCTCTGTCCAGGCAACAATAGTGGAGTGGGTTGCCATTCCCTTCTCCAGCAGATCTTCCTGGACCAGGGATCGAACTCGTGTCTCCTGCATTGGCAGGCGGATTCTTTACCAATGGACCACCAGAGAAGCCCATTTTCTTAAGGTACTGATTCTCAGCTGGGGGTGATTTTGGCCCCCAGGGGATGTTGGGTAATATCTGGAAGCATCTCTGGCCGTCACAATGGCGGGGGCTGCACTGGCACCTGCTGGGTCACGACCAGGAATGCTGCTGAACATCCTACAGAGCACAGCATGGTCCTCCCCTCGTGACAGAGACTTTTCTCTCCCCTCCACCCCCCACCGAATGTCACCAGTGTGGCTGTCCCTTCCCTAAGGTGAAACTCAGTTGGACAGGAGGGGATAAGTCAGTGAAGGGCTTAAATCAAGTGCCTCTTGATCTTAGTGAGTCCACCTTTAAAAACCTATTCAAAAATTATGTATAGACCCCAATAGAGCAGAGGCTCACCTTTCCTTCCTTTTTTCGTCTCTTTTCTCCCCCCACAACATCCCTCTTCTGACAAAATTTATGGATGATTTTGTCTACTTCAATAATTTGTTTTTCTATTCTTTTTCTTCTCATGGGTCCTGCCCACTAGGCATTGTTAGCTGAGAAGCTCAAAGACTGGCTCCCAGAATGAAATGGCAACCCCTCTCTGCGCTCATGGTACCCAGAGACAGAGCTGATTTAGGAGACTTGTGGGGGGTGGGGGTGCCTGATGCTGCCATGGAGGAGTGGGTGCCACTTGGCTAGCACTCCTTAAATCCATCTGACATTGAGTAAAACAAAGCAACAACATGGACAGAAATGAAAATCACCCTGTTGGGGACAAAGCCAAAGGCAGACTAGTCTATCGGCCAGGAAAACTGTCAGCACCAATCACTGTCTGCTAATCCCAGCCCGGCTTTCATCAGAGGCTCCCTGGCACTCTGAGGTATTTGTTCTACTGAAGATTTAAACTAGTTTGTTTTTAAGAAACAGTCCTAATCCCCTCTAACTTTATAATTACTTTTGGTTACTAAGTTACTCAGGGAGCTGAATGGAAAGACAGCCCTTCCCCTCCCACAAACATGATTAACCTTTCTTGGCTTATTTTCCCTAAAGTCTCAAGGGTAGTGCCAGCTGGGGGAAGGGGTAAAGACACTGGGAGGAGGAGAAGGACTAGGAGGAAGAGAGGGAACACAAGGAGGGGAGGGGAGGAGGGGAGAAGGAGGAGGGATGGGGAGGAGAGGACGGGGAGGAGGAGAAAAGGAGCCGGAGGAAAGAAAGAAAGGGAGGCTCTGGGTTGGCTCACACCAACCTGGACAAAAAAAATTTGGCCACTGTCTAGAGTTGGGGGCTCTTACTCTTTTTTTTTTTTTTTTAATCAAGTCATTTGTTGTCTCTCCTTCCACCGCTCAGAGAAGGAAACAGAGAGGATACAGATAATCAAAGGGCCATATGCATGGGGCCAGGGCAGGCAGCCAAGTTCCACTTTCAACTTAAAGTTCAGGAGGAACTTATTAAGTGTTTCCAATTGTGGTTATCATAACCCACCGAGGGTCACCCACGGACCCTGGCTTGATGGACAAGAGCCCGGCCGGGCAGTGCTCCCCAGCATACCCCAGGCTGCGGTCCACAGTCCCCTCGCTCCCCGCCCCCTCCTCTATGGGGAGGTCTTCCTGCATGTCCAGTCACTCTCCCATGCCATGGTCACATGTTGACTCCTGGCAAACACCGCTGTCCAGAGCGTCCTCATCGGTGTCCACCTGGCCCACAGACCGGCCACTCCAACCACTGACCCACTCCCCTTCTTATCTCCCTCCCAGTTGGGGGCCGTAGGGCTGGGGGGACTGGGGGTTGAAAATGGCAGTTTTGGGGCAGAAAGCATGTGAGCCTCCTCCAGGAAAGCATGTCCACTTCTTGACACTGACAGAAGAGCAAGCTGAACTCTGTACTGAGCGCCCCTCTTCCCTCCAGCGACCTCCTCTCTGACCTCCCAGCTGACCCACTGGCCCCGGGAGGGGACGGCCGGTACTCACGCTGCTGGGGTGGAGCATGGGCAGGGGCAGCAGCAGGAGCGGCACGAGGATGGCGAGCAGCAGCTTCCTGGCTCCGAGGAGTCCCTTCAGCAAGCCCATCCTGGACCTCCGCCCCTCGGAGCCCGCGCTGGCCAAGTGCTGTGCTGCTTGGCGACGCTCGCCTCCGTCCAGAAAGACTTCTCCAACCTTTCTCGGCTTCCAAGAGTCCTCTTTTGTTTTATGGGCAGAACAGGAAGGCAGGTAGAGCCCCTGTCTACACCAAAAGCCGGGCTCCTCGCCTCCAGTTTTAGGTGGGATTGGTGAGCATAGCCTCATGCCCAGCAAAAAGGAAGCGGGAAAGTGTGACCCACGTGGACATAGCGGCTTGCTCCCTTTGCTAGATCAGTAATGGAGTCACTTTATTCTACAGCTCAGCAAAAGCCCCCTTAATTGATCAAGAGTACACCTCTGCTGCAGCTGTCTGGCCTCGAAGAAGTCATTTAAAAGCTTCAAAAAAATAACAGATGCCAAGAGTCTGTGGCGCCCTCCCTCATTCTTCCTCTCTCTGATGGCCTGCTTTGAGCAGTACTATCTTCACTTCCTACCTGAACCGGCTGTGCCCCCTCCCCTTAAAAAGTCTAGTCGTCCCTGCCCCACTTCCCTTAAAACAAACCCCCGAGGTTCTCAGCAGAGCATGCAGACTTCAGATAGGGCTGGTCTCTTCTCCCAGGACCTGGCACCTCAACTCTGTTCAGACTTCTTTCCTTCTAATTGGTTTCCCATTATAAATGTGCCTTGAGCCTGGGCCTCCAGAGCAGGGAGAAGGAAAAAAAAAAAAAAAAAAAGTCCCCAAGACATTCCTTTTTTTGTCACGGGACAAAATCCTGCTGGAGGCCCACCTTAACACTCCTTCACCTATGGGAAGCGGGACAGAGGCGGTAGCCACGCCCATTCCTCGCAGCCAATCAGCACGTTGGAAAGAATGAGTCAGTATCTCTTCCAAAGGTGGTTCGGGATTGGTCCCAGCAGGGGCCTGCTGAATTCGCAGAACCCAAGAAACTTGCAAAGCTTATTTTTGTTCCTCAAACATACTAGGGGCCGGAGTGATGACCATCACTGTAAACATAATCCCACCTCCCCACACACTGCTTTAACGATGCAAAGGATAAGACACTGAGCTTTCTCTTTGAGGGCCACTTGCTGACCTAGTCCTCAGGAATATATGTCTGGTAGCAGGGAGAAAATGAAACATGAACCCTGGAGAAATTTGCCCCAGAGGATACAACATCAGGAGGCATCTCTGGTGGCTCAGTGGTAAAGAATGTGCCTGAAACGGAGGAGATGCAGGAAAAGCAAGTTTGATCCCTGGGTCGGGAAGATCCCCTGCAGGAGGGTATAGCAACCCACTCCAGTGTTCTTGCCTGGAGAATTCCAGGAGGAGCCTGGCCAGCTAGAGTCCACGGGGTCTCAAAGAGTCTGACACAACTTAGCAACTAAACCACCCACCACCACCACCATAAGTCTTTCAGACTTCCCTGGGGGCAGAGACCATTTGCTTCAGTGCCCAGGTGAATACAAAGCACCCGAGTCAGCACTGGACATTAGCATCTCAGCAAGACCACAGACCTTTTAGGGAGAGTGGGAAGGGTACTGCTTCTCTGGAAAAGCCTAGAGACCAGTTTTATTTCAGAGGCCCTTAAAGGATATCCATGGTCCTTCTGGCTGGAGTAGGTGTTCAAATGTTCCTCTCTGAGGCTCTTTACAAAAAAAGAAGCAGAAGTCTTCCTTTGACTAGTATGCAAGGAGGAGGTGGGAAGGCAGAAAAAAATGGATGGGTTCAAGAATAGGGCCTTTGCAGCCTTTGGACTTTTTCTGCTGCTTATAGAAGAAGAGAAGCGTTTCTCTTTTCTCAGAAAGGTCATGTGGATGAGGGGCAAGGAAGAAAGAGAGAGAAAGCATCCACACTTTTATAATTGGTGGTCTTTGGCAGCATTGCCTTGATCTGAGAGGTGCTGTGGGGAAGTCAAGGGAGTTCTTGAATTCACAGAACCCAAAAAATGACTTTCTAAGGTCTGCAGCTATGCCAGTTGAGAATAATCCCCAGGCTAAAGGTGAAGTGAATCTGGAAAGGTGAGTCTTGAAAACCAGTTCTTCTTAACCCCTAAAGCAAGAGCAGCTGTGGGCGACCTGGTTTGAAATTGTCTTGCCACTGGAGGATGAGCTACCATGACTCATCTCTTTAAATGCTTGTTAAAGACTGGCTGTCATATTTACTACATTCAAGCCTCATTTTTTGTGATGATTTTGAAACTCAGGAAGAACAGTAACACATGAGTGATGTTTTGGTGGCAAATATTAAAGAGACTGGATGCAGACAGCTGTGGAAGTCAACATTCGATGTTAAACCCGCGAGCCACTTCAAATTCTTTGGTGAGATAATCTGAGATAACAAGGATTCCACTGAGCCTGGAAACTCGATCATGACATTTTTATTATAACATAAGTGAGTATTTGTTAAATAAAATTATGTGACACAGTCATACCAAGAGTTCTCCTTCAGGACTCTTTCCATTTTTTCAGACAAAACATTTTCTTAAGGAAATTTTACATATTGCTTCAGAAATATAAGACAAATTCCACTTATATGAGGTATCAAAAGTAGTCTAACAATTAGAAAGTTGAATGGTAGTTACCAGGGGCCATGAGGAGAGGGAAAAGTGGAATGTTGTTTCATAGGTATTGTTTTTGCAAGATGAATAAGTTCTAGAGATCTTTCACACAGCAGTGTGCATGTAGTTAACTGTTCTGTACTGTATGCCTAGAAATGGTTCGGTTTGAATGGTAAATTTCATATGACATGCTTTATAACCACATTAAAAAAAAGAAAGATATTAAAATGGATTAGGGAAGTAAGGAGCACCATTTAACAAGCATTTAATTTTAGATCAGTGCCCTGCTTCCCAGGTGGCACTAATGGTAAAGAACTCGCCTGCCAGTGCAGGAGACACAAGAGATGTGGGTTCGATACCTGGGTCCAGAAGATCTCCTGGAGGAGGGCATGGTAACCCACCCCAATATTCTTGCCTGGAGAATCCCATGGACAGAGGAACCTGGTGGTCTGCAGTCCATGAAGTAGCAAAGAGTCAGACATAACTGAAGAGACTTAACATGCATGCACGTCCCGTGGAAATATCTTCTGATTCACTACTTATGTGATTCTCCTTTAGTTAGATTCCAGGTGAGATGACAGAGTAACGGAAGTTTCAGCCTATAGATGTTATTCAGTGTCTCTTGAGGGACACTAGAGGTAGCCATGAGAATGCCAACTATAGAAGAAACTTCCAGGGCTTTTAGATGCTACAATTACCCAGCATCTAGTAATGGCAGAAGGGTTCCATTGAGTCAGAGGCAAGTTTCCACTGATGTCACACTCTGAATTATTCTTTGAGTGGATATGACAAAATGTGTCTGGGTTATGACTGTAGCGTGTACAGTGTAGCATTCATGAGGCAAAATGGGAGAGTCCATGGTTGTCCAGGCTACTCCTTCACTGCTCTCTGTGCAGAGTCGAGATTTGGGGGGGTGGTGGTGAGCAGAATATTTGACTTTGTTTATGAATGACGTCATTGCTGTAAAACTTTTTGTGGGTAAACAATTTGTATTCAGACTAAAATACTGTTTAAATATCTAGTATAAGTGGCTTCCCTGGTGGCTCAGTGGTAAAGAATCCACTTGAAATGCAGGAGCTGCAGGAGATGTGGGTTTGATCCTTGGGTTGGGAAGATCCCCTGAAAGAAGGCATGGCAACCCACTCCAGTATTATTGCCTGGATAATCCCATGGACAGAGGAGCCTGCAGGGTTACTGTCCATAGGGTTGCAAAGAGTCAGACATGACTGAAATGACTGAACACGCACACATCTAGTAACAAAAATGAAAATGTCATTTGTCTTTAAAAAGGTTGTGCCCTTCTTGTTCCTTTTTGTTTGTTTGTTTCAGTTGACTGCCACGTAAGTTTGGACTCGATTTATCAGTACAAAAGTGCCTTTAATTTATTTGTGGCAGGGTGAATGAATGAACCGCCACTGCTATCACCAGTCCTGAGAACAACCCTCTCCTATTCAGGGATCTCCTCCCCTTGGGAGCAGCTGTGTGTATCCTCACATGGTGCTCAGGGACACCAAGTGTGGGCCTTTCTGCTTGGTGACTAGAGGAAAGCTCTTAGATCCATTCTGATAGGCATGGAGCCCCAGAGCAGATGCAGGACTCTGACTGTCAGACTGTTACCCAGTGTCCAGAGACTGAGGCCTCAGCTGATCCCCTCTCCAACCCTCATGCAGGCAAAGCCCCAACACTGAAGGTAGGCTGTGAGGCTAATTTTCTTTCTGGGCAATCCCAAACTTGTCCGTACCTTTGTTTTGCCTTTGTTTTAATCAGACAGCAATCCCTGAAAGAGACAGTGAGCATCAGAGAGAGCCAGGCAGAGACAGTGAGAGGTTAGCCTGAGGAAATCAAGATGTGCCTTGAGGACTGGATGTAGAGATATCAGAATCGGACCTAAAGACAGAGCAGCAGAGACACTGATGAACACAGAGATAAGCAGAGTGATGATGTCAAAGAGAACATGTGATCTTAGAAAGAAATTGAGTAGAAAAGTAATACCAGAGTCTGTATCTGAGGGGTGTACAAGAGAGGTATAATTAGGGAATGAGAACCAGAGAGACTGGCTGGTTAGTCTTCTGAGCCTGAGAGCATGAGGATGCAAAGTAAGACTTTTATTTGATGATAAATACCTATTTCTTCATCCTGATATTTCTTCAAAAGATCCTGCAGCTTGTGCTGCTAGGTAAGGCTCCCTTATTCAAAGATTTTAAAGAAGTCGAGACCAGCATTCATCATCATTAAACAATTGTTAAAAACCCATTTCAGAATCAGATTTAGCTCAGTGAGTCCTCGCTTATTCAAAGATTGGACTTCTTGCAATTTTAGCCTCTCAAACCCTTGGAGAAACTGGAAACATCTCTGAGCTGGTAAGGAATCTTAATTAGAACTGAGGTGATATACTCCTGGCAGGGACCTTCATGGATTAACTCTTCTTTAACATAGAATGCTAAAAAGACT